CTCAGGCTGTTGTAGTGAACCGTGTTATGCCCTTCCGTGCGATGGTATTCGTAGTAGGCGTTGAGATTCTTTCCCATCGGGCCTCCGACGAAGGGCGGCTCTTCCAACATACCTTTGTCCTTGATGGCCTCAAGTATTTGGCTCACCGTGAATGCCAAGGGGATAAGTCCGGTAAACTCCCGTCGGTAATCGGATGGAGGACCCTGGGTTCCCTAAGGGGCGTAGACACCACTCATCTTCTTCTTTTTCATCGCCGAAGCTTCTGCCGACATTGCCCCCAAACGGTCCGCTACCTTTCAGATCGTAGGGCGGCCGACCCATCTATCTGGGCGATCTCCTCTTCGACCACCGCATATCTCTGTTCCCTGGCTAGTGCCTCGGCATAACTGCTCATGGGGTTCCTCTTCAGTTCCAGGTAAAGATCCCCGGTTACAAGGGCATTGGTGAAGAGGGTGACGGTCGTGCTCTCCGTGAGGTCTTCGACCTTCAGGGTTTCGTCCCTCCACCTTATGAGGAAGGTGGATAGGGTTTCTTCCTTCCCCTGACGGACGCTCGTTAACCAGCTGAAGTGCTTCCTCGGCATGGAGCTGGAGATGAACTGCGCCATGAACTGTCTGGAGAGTTGTTCAAAGCTATCAATGGATCCGGGCCTAAGATGTCCGAACCACTCCTGCGCCGCCCCCTGAGGGTGCTGAAAAACAACCTGCTGATGACCTCATCAGAGGCTCCCAACATGAAGAGTTCTCCTTGGAATGAAAGTAGGTGGGCTTTCGGGTCCCCATCCCCATTATAAGTTAGGGCACCGGATGGCTGAATGCCCCTTGGCATCTTCGCTGCCATGATTCTAGCAGAGAAGGGAGAGGATAGGGCAATCCTGGGTTAAGCTGGCTTAGTTTTCGCTCGTCGGTTGAGTTCGTTGATCTGCCTTTAGAGATCCATGAGCATCACATCTCGATGCCCGTTCGTCCCCACTCACATTTTGGGTACGCACGGTGTCAGCGACATGCTGCTTGTTAATGACCTGGGCCTTTCGCCTCAAGCCGTTGATCACGGGGGTCTGCTCCCGGGCCGCGTGCTACCCTGTTCCTCTGAAGACCCTGTGCCTGTTCCCCCAGCTCCGCCCGTCTACGGAGAGTGGACGTTCATGCTGATCCTACTCTGGATCAAGGAGCTAGATTCTGCGGACCTGACTGTACGCTCGCCGAGCGTCTGCATAGTGCGGATTGAGGAGAACGGTGTACACTCGGTGTCATCAGAGTACAGCCGCTCCGCCTCCCGTTCGTCCGCCAAAAGACGGATGATATCCGCCATCTCCCTCAGGGCATTAGGGTCCCCTCGAATCTCGTGGGGAATCGTGTCAGTAAGTACCCCAAGGTTCCCCGGCTCCACACGCTGCTGGACTAGGTGTCTGCCGCCTGCTGGCGGGCTCTTCGGCTGTGTGACAGTCGTTCGAAGATATCATAGGAGTTTCCTTCATTGTTCCTTGACATCTTACTTGTTTTGAGCTTTCGAAAGTGGTTCTTAGCTGAGAGCTTGGTTTTGGAAGAACTTTTTGATCAGTTTCCCATAGACGGGGATAGTGTTGAAGTTTATTCCTTCGACCCGTTAAGCCCAACATGTGTCCTAAGGGTCTCAAGTGGAAGGGTGAACAAGTTAGATGAAGAAACAAGCAAGGAAAAGGCCCAATAAAGAGTACTTATTCACTGAAACGATTATAGAGTCGAGAGGCCGCTCGTACAATGCTATGCTACGAGCTCATACAATTGCTATAGTGCTAGAGTGCTAAATTGTGAACCCTTTACAATGGAATAAATGCTACTATTTATACCACCAAGGGGTAGTTGAATGCATTGATGTGGCATGCTGTAGATGGCTTGGCCCCAACTACCAAATCTTCTGCATTAAATGTGCTTCCCGCCAGAATCTTGGGTTCCCGCCAACGGGTGGGGACGTTCGTCCACAAAAGCTTGCTCCCTGCTTCCCGCTGGGTCCAAGGGGTGGGGACGTTCGTCCACAAAAGCTTGTTCCCTGCTTCCCGCTGGGTCTAAGGGGTGGGGACATTCATCCCCTGAAGCTTGCTCCCTGCTTCCTGTTGGGTCCAAGGGGTGGGGACGTTCGTCCCCAAAAGCTTGCTTCCTGCTTTCTGCGGAGACCTTGGCCTTAGGCCCGGGGGTGGAGACGTTCGTCTCCATCAGCTTGCTTTCTGCGTTGCGCCTGCCCTACGTGTTGGGGACGTTCGTCCCCGTGAGCCTGCTCCCTGTTGTCCGTCTCTGAAAATGTCCGTATGGTGGACCTTATGGTTCATGGTCCAATCCTTGTTGGGCCATTAACCCAACACTTCTATTTTTTTCCCGCCGTCATCACTCCTGCGCTTGCTGCTTTACTTTTTCTTTTCTTCTCTTTTTTATTCCTTTTGTTTTTTCGTTGCTCTTAATAGAATTATTATAGGATCAATATTGTACTTTACATGTGACATAATGGAACAAGTTACTCTCTAGGAGCCCTGACAGATATATTTCTAATAAGAAGAGTTCAATGTAAAGTACAACACTGATCCTATAATAATTCTATTACACCCCCTCAAGCTGTGCGGGAGATACAACGCGCAAGTTGTCTTTTAAAAAATGAAAACGCCGACTAGGAAGACTTTTTGTAAATATATTTGCCAACTCTAAATGAGTAGGAACATGTTAACAATCAAATCTCCACGAGCAACACGTTCGCGAACAAAGTGGTAGTCAATCTGTATGTGTTTACTTCGGGCATACTGAATAGGATTAGCAGTCAAATAGGAAGCTGAGACGTTATCACATAATAAATGAACATGTTCGGTTATGGGAAAACCGAGCTCACATAAAACAGACTAAATGGCGTGAGGCTATGGCCGATGAATTTAATGCTCTCATTAATAATAATACTTGGGATCTGGTGCCCTTTGACAATTCTAAGAATATAGTTGGTTGTAAGTGAATTTATAAAACTAAATATCATTCTGATGGGTCCATTGAGCGCCATAAGGCTCGATTAGTTGCTCAAGGTTTTAATCAACACGCTGGGATTGATTTCTCTGAAACTTTTAGTCCTGTCATTAAACCCACCACAGTTCGCATTGTTCTCACTCTTGCTGTTTCTTTTGGCTGGATAATTTGCCAACTTGATGTTAAAAATGCATTTTTACATGGCTATCTCACTGAAGAAGTCTATATGCGTCAACCCCGTGGTTTTATACATCCGCAATTTTCTAATCACATTTGTCGTTTGCGAAAGGCCATTTATGGCCTTAAGCAAGCACCACGAGCATGGTTTCATAGATTTAGTAGTTTTCTTCTTCAGCAGGGTCTTTGCTGTAGTAAGTCTGATAATTTGTTATTTATTTATCGCCATAATAATTCTATCATTTATTTATTATTATATGTAGATGATATTATTATTACTGGTAATTCTCCATCAGTCATTACCAAGTTTATTTCTATTATTTCTAATCATTTTGCCATGAAGGATCTGGGTGTTTTACATTATTTCTTGGGCATCGAGTCCCATCGGTCTGGTAATGGTCTGTTTCTTTCTCAGTCTAAATATGTTTCTGATCTTCTTAATCGCTTTCATCTTCATACCGTTAAACCCGTTCGCACACCTTTAGCGTCTCGCACCACTTTATCCATGTCTGATGGTGAGTTGCTTTCAGATTCAACTGAATATCGAAGCATGGTAGGTGCGCTACAGTATTTAACTTTGACACGGCTGGATATTACTTATGCAGTACACTTGGTGTCTCAGTTTATGCATACTCCCCCGTACTACTCACCTTTTTGCAGTCAAGAGAATTTCCAGGTACTTGCAGGGCACCCGAGAGCATGGTTTATGGCTTCAGCATTCTGCCAAACCCACGTGTGTTCTAGCTTATTCAGATGCATATTAGGCAGGATGTCCTGACTCCTCCCGGTCAACCACAGGTTTTGCGGTATTTATGGGTCCTAATCTGATATCATGTAAATCGAAGAAGCAACCCACTGTGTCCAAGTCTTCTACAGAAGCAGAGTATCGAGCCATTGCCTATACCGTTCAGGATACGTTGCACATTCGATCAGTTTAATTTGAGCTCGGTTTTCCCATAACCGAACCTGTTCATTTATTATGTGATAACGTCTCAACTTCCTATTATTTTTGATCCGATTTTTATAAAATTTATATCAACATTTTTTATTTTTCATGATCTTTCAAATGAGACCAATATTGTGTATGTAATTTTAAGAAATTATCGAACTATTATATTAATGAGTATTGGATTATAAGAAAAATCGAATCTATTTGGGAGATGATAGGTTTGTGAAATAGAAGATCGAATCTGTTTGGTAGTGGATCAGTGGCCTCATTTACATTTGATAATACATTGAGTTACATCTTTTTATGAGCGAGTTACATCTTTTTATAAGCAAGTTACATCTTTTTATAAGCAAATTACATCTTTTTATAAGCAAGTTACATCTTTTTAAAAGCGAGTTACATATATATAAACACGAGTTGCATTTGACATGCTTGAACGCGACTTACATGTATTTACACGTAAAGTTACATATTTTTACACGTAAAGTTACATATTTATACATGCGAGTTACATATTTATACACACGAGTTGCATGTGACCTGTCTGAATGCGAGTTACATATTTTTTTACGTAAAGTTACATATTGTTACACGTAGAGATACATATTTATACACACGAGTTGCATTTGACTTGACTGAAGAGTTACATATTTTAACACTTAAAGTTACATATTTTACACACAAATGTTAATATGTTAAAATTACATAGGCAATATTGGTCTCATTTGAAAGATCATGAAAAATAAAAAATGTTGATATAAATTTTATAAAAATCAGATCACAAATAAAAAAGTTATTACCATTTTTTAAAAACAAAAGGAAAAAAAAAAAGAAAAACCGTCCCGGTATAAGGTGCTCACCATATAGCGGTTTCAAGAAATATTTCTAGGTTTCCCCACAGCCTGCTTATAGGTTTCCCCGGTTTCAAGAAATATTTCTAGTTCTAAGTGCTAACTAAAAGTACATTTGCTCACCCCACAGCCTGCTTATAGGTTTCCCGCACTCGTTGCTTCTGAAAAATCTGACCACGATTCCACAATGAGAGGAGGCCACGTTGGACAGATGGTTGCCTTGCTCCTGGTTGCGGCCGTTAACGGAGGCGACGAGTTCAGCGGAGACTCCCCCAAGCTATCCGGGATCATCATCCCCGGCTTTGCGTCAACTCAACTTAGAGCTTGGTCAATATTGGACTGCCCTTACTCGCCTCTCGATTTCAACCCTCTCGATTTAGTCTGGCTCGACTCCACCAAAGTAATGCGCATTTCGTGATTGTTTTTATCGCTGTGTTTCGGTTTATCTGTCCAATTTAGTCACTGACGTATCTCTAATGTCTGTTTGTTCCTTTTTAGTACATCGCGCATAAATACTTACCAATCGTAAGTAATTTCATTGCTGCAGCACTTGCATTTCGTTTTCTGCGTATTTTGTTGAATTTCGCTCTGTTAAACTTTGAATTGAGCCATTCCCACTCAGCTCGAATATCAAGGTTTATGAGATGAGAGTATGAGTGTATGTCGAAGTATGCTATATGTTTTATTCCAGGAAAATAGTCCCCACTCGCCACTCCCCCGGCATTTTAATCTTAGGAATTTCCTAACGTTTTTTCTGCTAGATTTGCAAGTTCATTTTCTTATGAATTATGAGTCTCTCTAGTGCTCTTCGTCTCAAGTGCTTCTTACGTTAGAATTCTGACAGTTGATTATTTCTTTGTGCAGCTTCTGTCTGCTGTGAATTGCTGGCTAAAATGCATGATTTTAGATCCTTACAATCAAACAGATCATCCAGAGTGCAAGTCTCGTCCTGACAGTGGCCTTTCTGCTATATCTGAACTTGATCCTGGTTATATAACTGGTAGATTTGCCAGATTTTTTTCCCCACATCCAGTGTAAAAGCATGCTCTGTTAAATCTAAAACTGGAAACTACTTAGTTACTTGTTTAGGCATAGCCCTTGACACTCACAGTAACACACATACACATGCACAAATTTCACTGTGGTTAACCATTTACTTTCTTTTGTAAACTATATAAGTATCAGTACAATGGAAAAATTGAAGCAACCAATCACGTCTAGAATTGAAGCAACAAACCAAATACTATCCTCCGTTCTTTAATAGTTGCAACAATTTGACTTTCACGTTTGCCAACGCACAACTTTGACGTAATTATAATTAATTACGTATTAGTATATATTATAAAAAGTTAATATTTTGGAAATTCACATTAATAGAAATTTAATAACATTTTATACGTAATAATTTCATTATATATATTAGTAGAAAATCATGGTCAAAGTAAGATGTGTGAATAGTGCAAAAATCTCAATGTTGCAACTATTAAAGAACGGAGGAAGTATATACTATATAATTTTCTTTTGTTTGGCTTGTTATGCTTGCATAGTTTCATTTTTCTTCAGGTCCCCTTTCATCAGTGTGGAAAGAGTGGGTGAAGTGGTGCATTGAATTTGGCGTTGAAGCTAATGCAATTATTGCAGTTCCATATGACTGGAGATTGCAACCATCAAAACTCGAGGAGAGAGACCTTTACTTTCACAAACTGAAGTTTGTATCCTCTCTGATATATTTATTTTATGTTCCTTTTTATTTCATGGACTAAGTCAAATACTTTCCCCTCCATATGGAAAAATATTTGACAAGGGAGCCTCGGTGCACCAGTCATGGTGTCGCTGTATGATCAAGAGGTCATGGATGTCTTGGGAGCGGCCTCTTGTCAAAAATGTACAAGGGGAGACTTGCCTCCTGTACACCCTTGTGATGGGACCCTTCCCCTCGCCTTGCAGGGACGCCAATGTGCACTGGGCTGCCCTATGGAAAAGTGAAGATATCATTTTTTTATTTTGAGATGGTAATCATGGTATTCAGTTTTGTAACTTGCAAAAGTAAAGGCAGCTTTCTGCTTCAAATTCTAGGCATGGACGTAGGCTACTGTGCCTTCTTGGACTTTTCTATTCTTTTGGAGATGCTTTTTGTAATTAAAAGAGGCCATGTAGTATGCAGACACAGGGGAAAACTATTTTCCCGTATCTGTTCACATCATTGTCTTTCTTTACCCTTTATCCCATCTGTCTCGTAAAAAGTGAAGGACAGTTAGCATGTACTTCATTGGAAATCATTCTCACCAATTGTTTTTTTGTAATTGTATTTGATGTGTGTCAAATTTACTCTAAGTGTTCAATGCACAAACTGTATGTTCGATCTTAAAGCAGCATATATTTGTTATCTATTCAGGGGTAAACTTAATGAATGTTGTTGTTAATCCCAAAAAGACTTTGCTAATTGTGAGAAAGACTCACATTTACCTGCTTTTACTTCCATATTGTCTGACCTGTTAGTTGCATTAAAAAGTCTTATTAATGGCTAACTCTAGTCTATGACAGTCATCGAGCTTTTTTGCAGGCTGACTTTTGAAACTGCTCGTAAACATCGTGGTGGACCATCACTAGTTTTTGCACATTCTTTAGGGAACAATGTCTTCAGATACTTCTTGGAGTGGCTGAAACTAGAAATTGCCCCTAAAATGTATCAGCAGTGGCTAGATGAACATATCCATGCCTATTTTGCTGTTGGTATGCTTGGCTTTAAGTTGCCATGATCTCATTTAAAATAGACTGGAATTTGTAAGATAAATTTGCAACTGAGCAGGAATTTGTGTCTGCTGGGTGTCAGGATCTCCTCTACTTGGTGCAACTGAATCTGTGAAAGCAGCACTGTCTGGAGTCACATTTGGTCTTCCTATATCTGAGGTTTTAAAACTTTGTCTTTATTCAAATACTTGCATTTACTATAATTCAGTGCTCCCTGGATCTTTCTGAGTATGTGCAGGGACTGTGATAGGAACATATCCCTTTCGAGTTCTCATTTTCATTCGTTTTTCAAAATTGAAAAAATCAGATATCATTAAGACATAAAACTTTCATAGAATGACTGTCAAGAGCCTCTCCGTTAATATTTCTTCCCTCTAAGGCTCTAATTTAATTGAGAAATGAATTCTTTAGGAATTTATAACTCTCAGCGTGTCCCTGTGTAATTAATGCCTTTGCTAACTGATTTATCACATCAGGGAACTGCTCGATTGATGTCCAATTCATTTGGCTCTTCATTGTGGATGCTTCCATTTTCAAAATACTGTAAAACAGATACTGTATACTCGATGCATTTTTCTGGCAGAAGCAGAAAAGGTAATCACGCATTCCATTGTGATGAGCATGAGTATCGAGCAAATTACTCTGGTTGGCCAACAAATATAATCAATATTGAAATACGTCCAAATAAAGGTATCACTTTTATTCCTTATAAAAAATAAGTTTATGTTTGATTCTTCTGACATGTCTTGATTCCTCATAATATGTCCTGGCAGGAGATGAGGCTTATCCATCCTTTGTGCAAATTGCAGAAACAAAATTATCTGGCATGGAATGTGAATTTCCAACTCAATTGTCTTTTTCTGCCCGTGAAGTGTCCGATGGGACTTTTTTCCAATTAATAGCAAATTATGATCCTGATAGCCAAAGGCTCTTACACTTGTTAGAAAAGTGAGTCTTCCTGTGATTTCTACATGTTTTATATAATGTACTGGGACTATATATAGCCTGGTCATCGTCTGGAGCTCAGGAAGTTTAAAAGCCTCATTTCTTTTTGAGACGCTGGAAAAAAGGTTCTATTCAAATTTTCTTTTTTGGGACGAGAGAACAGGCAATCAGGCTTGACTTGATTCTCTGACATGGAAGTGGTTGGTTGTAGATGACCTATACTTAGTAGCTATTCTAGTGATTTTTTTATAACCCTATATCAGTTGTTCTCACCAAAACATTTTGTATGTTTCTTTGTGTGCCTGTAATTTAGTGTATACTGTATAGTAAGTCATCACTAAATTAACAGCCTTCTAAAACTTGATTGAGGATATTTTAACTAGAGTTGCAGAAATTGCGCTCAATTTTATCTGATTTTGTGCTATAACGGGATAATTTTCTTAGCTTTCTTCATTCTACATGGATTTGCAGTTCATATCACGGTGACCCAGTCCTAAACCCTTTAACTCCATGGGAAAGACCACCTCTTAAGAACATATTCTGCATTTACGGAATTGATTTGAAAACTGAGGTATCTAATCTGTGCTGATTTACAGTAAGCTGCTGCCTATCTGTTTAATATTTGTTTAAATTCGTGCTGAAGGTTTGAAGTTGTATGCTTCAATTTATTTGTAAGTTGTACCTGAGTGATTGATATAATCTTTGGATGTCGAAGTATTTCAAGATTTCCTTCAAATTATTATGTTTTCTGAAGTGAATGTGAGCTTCGTTTCTCCAAATAATCACAGATTGGCTTAATGGGAATGGGTTGTAGAGTTCCTGATCTGACATTTTCATTGTCCTATTTTGGTGAATCGTGTATTTGTCTTCTTTCATGATGACATAGGTTGGTTATTACCTTGCTCCAAGTGGGAAGCCTTACCCTGATAATTGGATCATAACAGATGTGATATATGAGACTGAGGGTTCTCTACATTCTAGGTAATCATCATTTATTACCTGGAGATTTAATGAATATTGTGAATATTCTATAGAGGTTTTATGTTGTTAAGATTTTATTGAGCACCTTTGTCTAACTCTTTTTGATTGGAGTTGAAATCTTGGTGCAATTACTCTATTCAAATGATATTGTATGCTGAACTGCTTGGTTAATGCATACATTTGGAGCATCACCAATGCAATCCTTTCTAGTCTAAATTAAATGTGCCAAATGTCAAAAAAGTAAAAGACTTTCAAGTTTCAAATACACATAATACAAAGTGGAGTGATTAGACATTAGACTATAGAAAAAGCTTCCAATGCGTAAGTTCTACGGTCCAAATGCAGTGTCCACTTGGAATTTACTCTGTATTATATTAATTAGATATGAGTAAATTATTTTTTCTTTTTTGAATTATCAACTGGTTGGCGCTGCAATGTAAAAAAGCTCATGAAAAATTACACATTCCATATACGGATCGATGGCTGAATTTTCATTTGTTTACTCCGGCGAGCACAACAACAAAATGAAATCTTATTATATACGGAGTATATATGAATATAAAATTATTTATATAGAAAAAAAGTAAGAAGTTCATCGTCATCCCTGAACCTTCTTCCTGGAGCAGATTATTAGAGCATCTCCAATGTGTGGTTGTCTAGTCTAGGAAAAATATGACAACTCATCAAATTAGACTTTGTGTGCGTATTACATCCTCCATCGCAGGTAGTCTCCAATTCATTTTTGCTGAGTTGGCCTAAAAACTGCTGCACACCTTGAAAATGAACGTGTGAGATGAGAAAGTCCTCTAATCTTGCTGACTCAGCAAAATTAACAAAACTGACGTGATTTACAACCATATATTTTCAGTTACTTATACCCAAGCATCCAAATTGTACGCTCTCGGCTCGAACCGCAAATTTTATTCACATGGCTTTGGTTTGTGGTTCCCAATTTGTTGAAGATTGCTAGTTTTGTAATAATCTGCTCCAGTAAGAAGGTTCAGGGATGACGATGACCTTCTTACTTTTTTTCTATATAAATAATTATATATATATATATAGGAATTTTATCAATATGGGACCTGAAAGATATACACTCCGCATATAATAAGACTTCGTTTTTTGTTGTGCTCGCTGGAGTAAACAAATGAAAATTCAGCCATCGATATGTAGTACAAACAAGATGGAATGTGTAATTTTTCATGAGTTTTTTTACATTACAGCGCCGACGAGTTGATAATTCAAAAAAGAAAAAACGATTTACTCATATCTAATTAAAATACTCCCTCCGTCCCTTATAACTTTACCAACTTTCCTTTTTTGGATGTCCCACTAACTTTGCCACTTTCCCTTCTAAGTAAAGAATTTGTGGTTCTAGTTCATTCTCTCTCCTCTGCACAAATCAAAACCACACAGTTTTTACTTTATTATTCCCCGTGCCGGTCAAACTTGGCAAAGTTATTAGGGATGGAGGGAGTAATACAGAGTAAATTCCAATTGGACACTGCATTTGGACCATAGAACTTATGCATTGGAAGCTTTTTCTATAGTCTAATGTCTAATCACTCCACTTTGTATTATGTTTATTTGAAAGTCTTACTTTTTTGACATTTGGCACATTTAATTTTGTAAGTTTTAGGAATAAAACTTCCTTGATATTATTGAGCCATCCGGCCATGGTATATATACATGTTACAGATAAAATCAAGTTGTTACAGATCCTAAAAAATAGGATCTATCTATTCTATCTATTCTGTGAGCTTATCTACTAATTAGAGAGTCCTATCTACTCTAATTCTTATCTACACAGTTCCGGATGTACAAGTAATTAATATAACAAGAATATGTTACATTTTTCTACACTCCCCCTCAAGTTGGTAAGTATATATCATACATTCCCAACTTGCTTATAAGTAGCTCAAATATAGGTCTAAATAACCCTTTGGTGAAGATATCAGCTGTTTGATCTTTAGTGGATACAAATGGTGTGCAAATGATTCCAGCTTCAATCTTCTCTTTAATGAAATGTCTGTCCACTTCAATGTGCTTAGTTCTATCATGTAGCACAGGGTTATGAGCAATGCTTATAGCAGCTTTATTATCACAATATAACTTCATAGGCAGCTCAATCTCCATCTTTAGTTCTGTGATTACTCGTTTGATCCAGAGTAACTCACATATTCCATTAGCCATAGCTCTGAATTCTGATTCTGCACTACTTCTAACAACCACATTTTGTTTCTTACTTCTCCAGGTTACTAGATTTCCCCATACATAGGTGCAGTATCCAGAGGTAGATCTCCTATCAGATATTGAGCCAACATAATCTGCATCAGTAAAAGCTTCAATTTTCCTATTGTTTCCCTTTTTGAAAAACAATCCTTTCCCTGGACAGCTCTTCAGGTATCTTAGAATCCTGTAAGTAGCATCAAGATGTTCTTGGAAAGGATGATGCATAAACTGACTTACCATGCTTACTGCAAATGCAATATCTGGTCTAGTGTGTGCCAGATATATTAATTTTCCTACCAATCTTTGATATTGGTGAATATCAACTGGATTTCCCTCCTTGATATCTCCCAATTTCTGACTTGGGTCAATTGGAGTGTCTGCTGGTTTGCAGGCACTCATTCCAGTTTCCTGTAGAAGATCTAAAACATATTTCCTTTGTGAGACAACAATACCCTTCTTTGATCTAGCTATCTCCATTCCTAGGAAAAATTTTAAATTTCCTAGGTCTTTAATCTCAAATTCATGAGCAAGTTTGTCTTTCAATCTTTTAGTCTCTGTGTGATAATTTCCTGTGAGGATAATATCATCTACATAGACAATTAAGATTGCAATCTCCCCCTTACCTGAAAACTTCATGAATAAAGTATGGTCAGCTTGAGCTTGATTAAATTCTTGCTTTTTTATGAACTTTGTGAATCTGTCAAACCAGGCTCTTGGAGACTGTTTAAGTCCATATAAAGCCTTCTCTAATATGCAAACCTTTAACCCAAACTTATTTTCAAACCCAGGTGGAGGTTCCATGTACACTTCTTCTTCAAGTTTCCCATTTAAAAAAGCATTCTTTACATCCAGTTGTTGTAATGGCCAGTCTAAATTGGCAGCAAGAGATAAAAGAATTCTTACAGTGTTCAACTTTGCAACTGGTGCAAAGGTTTCTTTGTAATCAATTCCATAGGTCTGTGTGTACCCCTTGTCAACTAGTCTTGCCTTATATCTCTCCAAACTTCCATCTGCCTTAAACTTGGGGTTGAAAATCCACCTGCAACCAACTGTAGGTTTATTTTTAGGTAACTCTACAAGCTTCCATGTCTGATTCTTTTCAAGAGCCTCCATCTCCTCCAAAACAGCTTTCTTCCACTCAGGTTTAGATAGGGCATCCTGTATGGTTGTAGGAATAGAAATAGAAGAGATACTGGAAGTAAAGGCTGCAAAGTCTGATGTCAATTTAGAATAAGAAACATAGTTTGAGATGGGGTATTTAACACATGTTCTTCTCTCTTTTCTGAGAGCAATAGGAAGGTCAAAGTTGCTAGAAGTATTACCTTTTTCACTTCCTGACATTGAGGCAGAATCATGGACAGTTGTAGGTTTTTGAACTTCCTCTATTCTTTGATTTCTAACCCTTCTCTCATAAGTTTTTTCAAAGAACTGACTTGTCTGTTGATCCTTTTCAATTGGTTCAGTTGGATTTACTTCATTATTTTTAATTCCTTGATCATTTTCAGGTGTACTGATATTTGAAAAGACATTATCATCCTGATTAATATCAAGAAAATTAAAATTTTCATGAATATTTGGCATTATAGGAACATCTTCACTTAATTTCTCCCCCCTGAAGATGAGAATCAAAAAAAGGTTGTTCTTCCATAAAAATAATATCCATAGTAACAACCATTGTTTTGGTTGTAGGATCAAAACATTTATACCCTTTTTGAGTGGCAGAAACACCTAGAAAAACACATTTTTTCCCTCTAGGATCAAACTTGCTTGCAGATTTATCTGGATTTTTGATAAACACTTTGCAACCAAAAATTTTTAAAGGAAGGGTGTTTACCAATCTATTTGTAGGAAAGAAGTGTTGTAGTAAACTAATAGGACTTTTAAATCCTAAAATTTTGGATGGCATGCGATTAATTAAATAAGTTGCATGTAACACTGCTTCTCCCCACAAATATTTTGGTATGTTTGTTGAAAACATGATTGCACGAGTGACTTCAAGTAAATGTCTATTTTTTCTTTCTGCAAGTCCATTTTGAGCTTGTGTATTGACACAAGAGCTTTGATGAATAATGCCTTTTTCAGAAAAAAAGTTGTTTAAAGTTTGAGAAAAATATTCACGGCCATTATCACTTCTTACCATTTTAATTTTGGTATTGAATTGAGTTTGGACCATAGCATAAAATGTTCTAAATATTTTCTCAACTTCAAATTTTTCTTTGATTAAAAATACCCATGTGACACGAGTATGATCATCAATAATAGTTACAAACCATCTCTTCCCTTTAAAGTTGGTATTCTAGATGGACCCCAAATATCACTATGTACCAAGGTAAAAGGGCTAGTAGGTTTATAACTGTGGGGTAAATAAGTGTTTCTGTGATGTTTTGCAAGAGCACACATATCACAATTAAACAAAGCAGCATCTTTATTTAGAAATAATTGAGGAAACATCTTTTTTAAATAATAGAAACTAGGATGTCCTAGTCTATAATGAAGTAAATACAACTCTTTATTATTTGAAAAAGAAACAGTTTGCAAACAAGCATTTCTTAGACCTTTTTTATTAGATTGAGTTTCTCCATCAAAGATATAGAGTCCATCCTCCTCCTTAGCACTGCCAATCATCTTCCCCGATGCTAGGTCCTGAAAAATGCAATGAGAGGGATAAAAAATGACACAACATTGTAGATCTTTAGTTATTTTACTAACTGAAGTAAGATTGCAGGATAGATTAGGGACATGAAGGAATTTGGATAGATTCAGTGATGAAGAAATACTAATATTTCCCATCCCTGCAATGGTTGATAGAGAACCATCTGCAACCTTAACCTTTTTATCTCCTGCACTAGGTTTATATGAAGAAAAAAGGTTTGAAATAGAAGTCATGTGATCAGTAACCCTTGAGTCAATAATCCAGGTATTTTTAGATTTCCCAGAACAAAAAAATGATGAATAGGTACCATTTTGGGCATAAGAGCAAGAGGAAGATTCTGGTTTGGATTCTTTCTGGGAATTTTGGGTTTTCTGGGAATTAAGGAAGTTAAAAAGTTGCCCTATCTGCTCCTGAGTGAATGAAAGTTGATTGAACTTGACTTGTGGTTCTTGTTGAGTCTCAGTCACAGTTGTTTGTAGGGCTTTCTCAGTTTTTTTCTTTCCTGCCCCTGGTGGTTTGCCATGAATTTTCCAACAAGTCTCCCTAGTGTGCCATAATTTCTTGCAATGATCACACCAGGGTTTTTTCTTGTCATCACTCCTAGCCACCATTGCTGAAGAGTCCCCAGATTCCTCATTATGTACTGGAGTGCTGTACATAACCTTCTTCCTGCTATCCTCCATCCTGATTTCAGAAAATACCTCCTTGATAGAGGGTAGAGGTTTTTTTCCAAGTATCCTCCCCTTAATTTCATCTAGGTCCCTATTGATCCCTGCTAGAAACATATAGACCCTATCATTCTCTTCTCTTTTCTTATGTCTGGCCAGATCCTTAGCACTCTCCCACTCTTCATCACCATAGCATTGATCTAATTCTTGCCACAGAGATACCATTTCATTGTAGTATGAAATAATATCCCTATTTCCTTGTTTAGATTGCCACAGTTTGGTTTTGAGTTCAAAAATTTGAGAAGAGTTCTCAAGATCTGAATAAGTTTCCTTAATAGAATCCCATACCTCCTTTGCAGTTTTCATAAACATATGAGGTTTGGCAATTAATGGCTCCATGGAGTTGAGAAGCCAAGCTGTTATGAGTGAATTCTCTGACCTCCATGTACTGTACCCTTCTTCTGCAGGTAGTTTTGGTTGGATTTCTCCTGTGATGTAACCCAGCTTTCCCCTCCCATCAATTGCAAGTCTGACAGATTGAGACCACTCCAGATAGTTTGTTCCATTCAATCTATGACTAGTGATTATCATAGATGAATGAATAGGAGACTGGTAATTTGTCATAGAGCTAATTTGGGAGTTAGGGTTGATAGTGTGTGAGGAATCAGCCTCACTGGTTTCTACCATTGTTTAAACCGAAGCTCTGATACCATGTAAGTTTTAGGAATAAAACTTCCTTGATATTATTGAGCCATCCGGCCATGGTATATATACATGTTACAGATAAAATCAAGTTGTTACAGATCCTAAAAAATAGGATCTATCTATTCTATCTATTCTGTGAGCTTATCTACTAATTAGAGAGTCCTATCTACTCTAATTCTTATCTACACAGTTCCGGATGTACAAGTAATTAAAATAACAAGAATATGTTACATTTTTCTACAAATTTAGACTAGAAAGTATTGCATTGGTGATGCTCTTACAAAACTAGCAATCTTCAACAGATTGGGAACCACAAACCAAAGCCATGTGAATAAAGTTTACGGTTCGAGCCGAGAGTGTACAATTTGGATGCTTGGGTGAAAGTAACTGAAAATAAATTGGTCGTAAACCATGTCTTTTTTGTTAATTTTGCTGAGTCAGCAAGTTTAGAGGACTTTCTCATCTCACACTTTCATCTTCACAGTGTGCAGCAGTTTTTTGGCCAACTCAGCAAAAATGAATTGGAGACTACCTGCGTTGGAGGATGTAATACGCACACAATGTCTAGTTTGATGAGTTGTCGTATTTTTCCTAGACTAGACAACCACACATCGGAGATGCTCTTACATGTAGACAAATATCAAGCATGTCTCCTTCTCTGCTTAATTAGGCTTTGAAGTCTTCATCCTTTTTGTCCAAATAAATAGGGATGCAGAATAAATAAAAACAAAGTGAAGTAAAGGATTAGTTTTTTTTAGTTGTCACATGTTAAAGAATGCAATACAATATTTATGATTTATCCTTTACAACAGTGGATTTTTTGAAAAATTTATTGACATTGCTTATGTCCTCATCATTTTTCGAATTGTGAAGGTCAGGTAATCTGGTTGAAGGTAACCCTGGTGCAGCAAGTGGAGATGAGACGGTAAGACTAAAAACATCATATTCTTGTTTTTCTAGCTTTTTTCTGTTAGTCCAGCTGTACTGTGTGCAGTGTCTACCTGCCATTACTTTCATTAAGTGGAACATTGTAGGTGCCATACCATTCCCTCTCTTGGTGCAAGAATTGGCTTGGCCCTAAAGTGAACATAACAAGGGCTCCTCAGGTAACTCTTGCATGATTTTTCTATATCAAGAGTCGTCGTAGCCTGTCGGTTCAACACTTCAACCTAATGTTCTAAAAATCACTCGTGCTAGTCAGGCAATACCGGCGGCAAGCCAGGTGTGGTTTAAAATATATATTTTATAATTAAGTTTGTATATATACAATTAATATTAATAATATTGTACAAACACATAAAAATATATGAATGATAAAAACATAAGAATATATGAATAATATTTGTCATGGTGCATGGCGATTGCCATGGCTCAAAGGCATTTTTCATGGCGCATGGCGATGACGCATATACGAATGGCCCATATGGCTCATATGGCGCTATGGTGACGACCACCATTTTCATGGCAATGGCACATATGGCGCGTGCCATATCTCGCCATTGACTACTATGCATAAGATGCACGATTTATGATCAATTAATTACCACAACCACACAATTGATATTAGATAGACATATAATATAAGTGTTTGTAAGTGAGATGTAGTTGTTGCCTTAGCTTGTCAGTACTGCTTACTTGAGATGCATATTAAAGGTTCAGGTTTGAATCTTAAAATTAAAAGAAAAAGTCACTTATAGGCGTCCAACTAGTCAGGTTGAGTGCTGAAAACCGAAAAATAAAAATCAACGGAATAAATCTGTTGCCCAAACAATCAACGATATAAACCGTTGCTCAGAGCCAAAAGGCTAGAATCCAATTTTATTCCAAGATGAACAAAAATGAACCTTGACAAGGGGTATAAATAGCCTTCTAGTAAGCGACTCCAAAGAAATCTTAATCGAGCCCAAATTAATTAAATCCTAATTAAGCCCAAATTACTCTACTAAATACTCTACTTATAATAGACCCAAACTAGAAAACATAACATAAACTCTATAACAATAATTAAAGCTATAATCCCAGCCCATAACCGGCCCATGGAAGTGGGCCCAAGACCGTTCCCGCCCCATGCTCTTCCTGCTCTCTATCAATCCATCCTCCTCCAAAACAACCTTGTTCTCAAGGTTGAAATTCGGAAACCGGCTCACATTTATCCCCGGGGGCTGCCCAGTATCTTTAGGTATACTTTAGGTTAGCTGTCACTCGATCCTTTCAGCCCGTTCATGAAATACCCCAAATAATGATCGTTAGATAGCCTTGGGACCTGACTTGTTAGTTGAACAAAAATTGAGATGTACTCCTCCACAGTCCTTGTCTAGTTGACTCTGGACAGCCGTTGAAAGTGATTGCCCTTAAACCGTGAGTCAAAACAAGCCATCAACACCTGTGTAAGCTCATCCCATGACATGCCCGGCTTTTGTGCCCATAACCAGGTAAACCAGTATACGGCTGACCCTTCCATCACAACAAAAGCGGCTGCCACCCTCTTTCCCGGTGGAGTACAGTTCAGTTCGAACTGTTGCTCAGCCCTTGCAACCAAGCTGACCGGGTCTTCTCCATCAAACGAGGGCAGCATCGTCAGATAGCTGCTGCATAGTTCAGTTCCGTGTGCGGATGCCGCTGCTGCGTCGAGTGAAGCCATCGCCGATGAATGCTCCTCCGTTGCTGGAGGGGCGAGAGCCTTCGTGAGCGCAGCCAAGGAGGCTGTGATCTCCCCAGTTGGATTCCTTGCACGTCCAGCTTTGCTCCCTGCGCGTCCAGTTTCTGGTTTTTCAAAACCTGTTCAGCCTCCATCTTTGAAAAACGTTTAGTGATTGCTCTCGTCATTTCGGTGGGACGGGATCCGGCAGGTTGGACCAATTGATGAAAACAGAAAAATAAAAATCAACGATATAAACCGTTGCCTAGACAATCAACGATATAAACTGTTGCCCAGAGCCAAAAGGTTGGAATCCAATTTAATTCCAAGATGAACAAGAATGAACCTTGGCAAGAGGTATAAATAGCCTTCTAGTAAGCGACTCCAAAGAAACCCTAATCGAGCCCAAATTAATTAAATCCTAATTAAGTCCAAATTACTCTACTAAATACTCTACTAATAACAGACCCACACTAGAAAACATAACATAAACTCTATAAAAATAATTAAAGCTATAATCCCAGCCGATAACCGGCCCACGGAAGTGGGCCCAAGCCCGTTCCCGCCCCATGCTCTTCCTGCTCTCTATCATTGAGGCACCTGACTAGTTAAATGAACAGTTTTGGACTGACTTAACTAAACATGGGGCACCCAGCTGCCACCTACCACCTACGCCAACATTTAGGACAACTCTTCAACCTTTATTATCCAACCGTATTGAGATTTAGAGTTAGAATCGTCTTTTAAATGGTTTTCCTTTGCAAGTGGTAATGACATTTTGCTTTAATCATCATCACCGAGGTCCGAACTATGTCTGACATGAATTTACCGTGTCAATTAATGCCCTAAAATCAATTAACACTACAAATGTGCGGGAAAGAGCACTGTGACCAAGTTTTATGCCAGATGTTCTATTTTAACCAATCACAGAAGAATGGGAGGATGTAAGTTTTAGGAATAAAATTTCCTTGATTGAATAAGCCACACGGCCAGGGTATAAATACACTTTGTACAGATAACAACTAGCTAGTACAAATCCTAAAAAATAGGATCTTGATAACAACAAAGCTTATCTACAACTAACTGCATCTATCCTAGTCTATCCGACTAAATATGCACATCAATTTAATCAGAAAAAATAATGTAACATTTTCTACAACCCCTCAAGTTGGTGAATATATATCATACATTCCCAACTTGCTCCCAAGTAGCTCAAATATAGGTCTAAATAATCCTTTCGTGAAGATATCGGCTGTTTGATCTTTAGTGGATACAAATGGTGTGCAAATTATTCCAGCTTCAATCTTCTCCTTGATGAAATGTCTGTCCACTTCAATATGCTTAGTTCTATCATGTAGCACAGGGTTATGAGCAATGCTTATAGCAGCTTTATTATCACAATACAACTTCATAGGCAGCTCAATCTCCATCTTCAGTTCTGTGATTACTCTTTTGATCCAGAGTAATTCACATATTCCATGAGCCATAGCTCTAAATTCTGATTCTGCACTACTTCTAGCAACCAAATTTTGTTTCTTACTTCTTCGGGTTACTAGATTTCCCCATACATAGGTACAGTATCCAGAAGTAGATCTCCTATCAGATATTGAGCCAACATAATCTGCATCAGTGTAAGCTTCAATTGTCCTACTGTCTCCCTTTTTGAAAAACAATCCCTTCCCTGGACATCTCTTCAGGTATCTCAGAATCATGTAAGTAGCATCCAGATGTTCTTGGAGAGGATGATGCATAAATTGACTCACCATACTTACAAATGCAATATCTGGCCTTGTGTGTGCCAGATATATTAATTTTCCCACCAATCTTTGATATTGGTAAATATCAACTGCAATTCCCTCCTTGATATCTCCCAATTTCTGACTTTGGTCAATTGGAGTGTCTGCTGGTTTGCAGGCACTCATTCCAGTTTCCTGTAGAAGATCTAGGATATATTTTCTTTGTGAGACAACAATACCCTTCTTTGATCTAGCTATCTCCATTCCTAGAAAAATTTTAAATTTCCCATGTCTTTGATCTCGAATTCATGAGCAAGTTTGTCTTTCAACCTTTTAGTCTCTGTGTGATAATTTCTGTGAGGATAATATCATCTACATAGACAATTAAGATTGCAATCTCCCCCTTACCTGAAAACTTCATGAATAAAGTATGGTCAGCTTGAGCTTGATTAAATCCTTGCTTCTTTATGAACTTTGTGAACCTGTCAAACCAGGCTCTTGAAGACTGTTTAAGTCCATACAAAGCCTTCTCTAATCTGCAAACTTTTGACCCAAACTTATTTTTAAACCCAGGAGGAGGTTCCATGTACACTTCTTCTTCAAGTTTCCCATTTAAAAAAGCATTCTTCACATCCAGTTGTTGTAATGGCCAGTCTAACTTGGCAGCAAGAGATAAAAGAATTCTTACGGTGTTTAACTTTGCAACTGGTGCAAAGGTTTCTGTGTAGTCAATTCCATAGGTCTGTGTGTAACCCTTGGCAACTAGTCTTACCTTATACCTCTCCAAACTTCCATCTGCCTTAAACTTGGGAGTGAAAATCCACCTGCAACCAACTGTAGGTTTGTTTTTAGGTAACTCTACAAGCTTCCATGTCTGATTCTTTTCAAGAGCCTCCATCTCCTCCAAAATAGCTTTCTTCCACTCGGGTTTAGATAGAGCATCTTGTATGGTTGAGGGAATAGAAATAGAAGAAATATTGGAAGTAAAGGCTGTAAAAGCTGGGGTTAATTTAGAATAAGAAACATAGTTTGAGATGGGGTATATAACACATGTTTTTCTCTCTTTTCTGAGAGCAATCGGAAGGTCAAGGTTGCTAGGAGTATTACCTTTTTCACTTCCTGGTACTGAGTCAGAATCATGGACAGTCGTAGGTTCTTGGACTTCCTCTATTCTTTGATTTCTAAACCTTCTCTCATAAACTTTGTCAAAGAACTGACTTGTCTGTTGATCCTTTTCAATTGGTTCAGTTGTATTTACTTCATTATTTTTCATTTCTTGATCATTTTCAGATGTACTGTTATTTCTAAACGTATGATCATCCAGATTAATATCAAGAAAATTAAGGTTTTCATGAATATGTGGTACTATTGGAACATCATCACTTAATTTCTCCCCCTGAAGATGAGAATAAAAAAAAGGTTGTTCTTCCACAAAGAAGGTATCTATTGTAACAACCATTGTTTTGGTTGTAGGATCAAAACATTTATACCCTTTTTTAGTGGCAGAAACACCTAGAAAAATACATTTTTTTCCTCTAGGATCTTACTTACTGGCAGATCTATCAAGATTTTGTATAAACACTATGCAACCAAAATTTTTTAAAGGCAGGGTGTTTACCAATCTATTTGTAGGAAAGAAGTGTTGTAGTGAATTGATCTGACTTTTAAATCCTAAAGTTTTGGATGGCATGCGATTAATTAAATACGTAGCATGTAACACAACCTCTCCCCACAAATATTTTGGTATGTTTGTTGAAAACATGATTGCACGAATGACTTCAAGCAAATGCCTATTTTTCCTTTCTGCAATTCTATTTTGAGCTGGTGTATTGACACAAGAGCTTTGATGGATAATGCTTTTTTGAGTAAACAAATTGTTCAAAGTTTGAGAAAAATATTCACGGCCATTATCACTTCTTACCATTTTAATTTTGGTATTGAATTGAGTTTGGACCATAGCATAAAATTCCCTAAATATTTTCTCAACTTCAGATTTTTCTTTGATTAAAAATACCATATGACTCGTGTATGATCATCAATAATAGTTACAAACCATCTCTTTCCCTTTAAAGTTGGTATTCTAGATGGACCCCAAATGTCACTATGTACCAAGGTAAAAGGACTAGTAGGTTTATAACTTTGGGGTAAATAAGTGTTTCTGTGATGTTTTGCAAGTGCACACATGTCACAATTAAACAAAGACGCATCTTTATTCAGAAATAATTGAGGAAACATCCTTTTTAAATAATAGAAGCTAGGGTGTCTTAGTCTATAATGAAGTAAATACAAATCTTTATTATTTGAAAAAGAAACAGTTTGCAAACAAGCATTTCTTGGACCTCTTTTATTTGATTGAGTTTCTCCATCAAAGATATAAAGTCCATCCTCCTCCTTAGCACTGCCAATCATCTTCCCCGATGCCAGGTCCTGAAAAATACAATAAGAAGGATAAAAAATAACACAACAATGTAGATCTTTAGTTATTTGACTAACTGAAGCAAGATTGCAAGATTAGGGACATGAAGGTCTTTGGATAGATTCAGAGATGAGGAAATACTAATATTTCAGATTGCAGTGACAGTCTCTATATAAAAAATTCAACACAAACATAATTCAATATTATTATTTAGTTAAGACATTTCATCATCTACATTCTATACTCTATGCTAAGGTTGAAATGCATCCGTGTTTAATTCAATTATCTCTAGAACCGCTTAATCTCGTCTAATTTATTCTCTTAATAAAAATGTCCAGTTGATTGTTCTTAGCGTGATTATTCATGTTTTCTAAATGTTGTAGGTGCTGGTGGCTGATAGAAATTTAAATTGTTGCACCTTTGTTTTAAAGAGTTGATAAAATCAGGGTTGCTTGAATGAGGTGTATAAATCAGAAGTGCTAATGTATGGCTAATGATCTCGAGAAAAATGCCCAACTGTTTATTCTCACAGAGGTTATTTATGCTTTCTGAATGTTTAGAATCTCGGTGGGTGATGATAAATTTGCATTCTAGGGAAGCAAAGTGTTCCATTGATTACAACTTAATGTTACTTTTAAACTGTCATGTTTACAAATAGATGAAAAATCATTTGAAGAATAAAAATATACCTTGAATAATATATAAGAGTGAAAAATATGCTTACAGGAGTGAACAAATTAAAACTATCCCACTTTCCAAATGTGACAGATTACTCATTTACAGACTAAAGAGTTATTTTCAACACAATGCAGAATCCTTTGTTTCATGATATACAAGAAACTCTGTTTCGTGACTTCTAAGTTTCTCAGGGAGCATTGTTTAGTTCAACTCTGTTTAGGTGCACTTCTGTTTAGTATACTACAAGTTGCGTCACAGGATTGCATCATTAAATTTTCTTTTCTTCTTTATGCCAGTTACATTTGGCATAAAGAAATGCAGATTTGTTTGTGCAAACGTTGTGTTATTTAAACACCTCCTCTCCCCACTCCTCTCCCCACAGACCGTCTAGAATTTCTGCTGCTCAGACCTCCGGACCTTCGGCTTCTTGTAGTGTGTTTGAGGTCCGTCTATTCATTTTCTTTCTCCTTTATGTTGGATCATTTCTTTCCTCGTCTGGAATATGTCTTTAAAATGTTGAATATTATTTTGAGTTTTTAGACTATTGGAGTATGTCTTGCCATTCTGCCGCCGCAGGTTTTAGAATATTGAACAGACTTGAACACAACATCAAAGATTTCCGTATTGTCTATAATGACTCTGTGCCTGAAAATGCTGCCGAACTGCATGTCAACCCTTCAACCAAAGAAACTATTGACGGTCTGTTGAAGAAGGAAGCAGCCGTTCGCATTTGGGATGTTCTGAGCAAGGCGGGAGTCTTGACAGCTACATGATCCAATTCCCTCACCATTATGGGGTTGATGTATTCAATCCACAGATATGGTCTAAAGCGCACTGTCCAGGACCTGTCCGATAAGTTTGTTCCTGTGAGGCAGCTGGAGGCTTTCAAGGAAACCCTTAACCGAGTAGATAATGGAGTCCTCACTCTTCTGGATCAAAGGACCAAGCCCAAAGTTGCCGGGAATATTGTTGCTGCGGGTGAAACAAATAAGAGGAATGGAGGCAACGGGAATGGAGGCAACGGGAATAGAGGCAACGGGAATGGAGGCAACGGGAATGGAGGAGATTCAGGGGATGATTGAAAGGTAGTGTTTACTTCTTCACTGAAAACTTTTATTGTAGTGCTGTTTTTTATTAACATGAATTCATGATTAAGCAGTGGCTAAGATGAATTTGGTTAAGACAAAATATATTGTGTTTTAATTTTCTTCGGAGACTTTCTCTCAATATGTTATAATTTACATTTGTTCCTACTACTGTTCATAAAATATTTTGAAGTGGTGCAGATTTCCAAAGCTAAATTTATACATTTTGAGAAAAACAAATAACATCAGAAGATTATCTTTGCATGCACTTTCACGACAAATTTGAATGACTCTCAGTAATAACCATCAAACTATGTGTGATTGTATATCACAGTGCATTAGGTCTGGTGAGGTGAAGGAATAGATATAGAAATCCGGTTTAAAAAACTGCTGATATGACCAAACTGTTAAAATTGGTCATGTGGCTTGAAAAAATCGATTTATCAATAGTTTATTGCCCACCCTTGGCAGACCAAAACTGTGGTAAAGAATGGAAACATGGAATTATTTTTCCCACACCATTCTAAAAAGACTTCACTTATGTATAGAATAATAAGAATACTTGAGACCTTCAATAATAAAGCATTAGAGATGCAAGTATAGGAAATGATTATGCATTTTTTCTTTTGCTTTTTTCCCATGTTTGGTTTCCTTAAGTATCGGCGGCTTTGCTTAAGCAGGGTTTGTTCCAACATTATTTTGGTAACCGGCCTCCTTCATGCACCCCAGACTTGTTATGCGCACCTCTTTCTTTTCAATATCGGACAGCTTTGTCCTCAAGTGCGTACCAAATGTAATACGGAGTAACTTTTAAATTAGGGAAATTTACTATTAACCCCCTCGGTTATGATATACTCCCTCCGTCCCTAAATGTTTGTCACACTTTGACTTCACAAGTTTTAAGGAGATGAATTTGACTTTACACTGTAGCGACACTGTTTCACACTGTAGCGACACTGTTTGGCACTGTTTGACACTGTTTTGTACTGTTTCACACAGTTTGATATAAATTTGTTTACCAAATAAGGAAGTTGAAAAAGTATGACAAACATTTTGGGACATCCGTTTCGGGAAAGTGTGACAAACTTTAAGGGACGGAGGGAGTAATTATTAATGCAACCTTGCATTTTCAAAAATCAATTAGCTGCCCCCTGAGTTTGGATCATTCTCATTCTTTGCCCCTCACGTTAATATTTGTTAAATTTAAATTTAATATAATTCTTAAATTCAATGAAAAATGTCTATAAAAGTAATTTTAAATGTAAAATACAAATTGTGATCAGGCCTTGGGCCAGGAGCTTGCGTGAGGGCTTGGCCGCTCATAAGCGTCTTGTTTCTTATTCTTGGTGTCTTCAACATGTCTTCATTCTTCAAAAATCAGAGGCCTTGGGCCGTAAGATAATACATTCATTAGTTATGATGGCTTGGCCGCTCTAATATTACTGATAAAATTTAACTAGGTGATGCACATTCCAATGTCTAGGGACCTCTGTCCCATTGGGCCGTTTGAGTTTATAAGTCCCTGGCTTAATAATTGCTGCCACAATGTAAGTCCCTGGAATAATTAGAATAATCAAAATCATAACACATTTTATCTTTCAGGTCCCTTATTGATACTAAACCTATCTTTTAGGTCATGGAATGATAAAAAAAATCTTGGTATTTCTTCTTTGCTACACACGAAAGAAATGCCATTGCGATTAATTCAACCGGGTGAGTTACAAATAAGACTTTTATATTTATAATGAAGAAGTGCCTAAAATTTTGATCACATTTTAGAAACAATTATTTTGATCTATCCCATGAATATTACTCGTGAGTCTTCCCTTTAACTACTTTCACTAATAGTTACTCCACGATTGAGTAGTACGTTAAGTACAAAAACAAACGATCATCCACAATGACATATAATTATGATAATAAATTTTTATTATATTTTAAAAATTAATTTCATGTACAACTTTTATTGAATTTAAAAGGTATATTAAGTTTAATTTAACAAATATTAACGTGAGGGGGTATATAGTGAGAATGATCAAAACATGGGGGGTACTAATTAATTTTTGAAAACGAAAGGTTGCATTAATAATTATGATATAACCTCAGGGAGACAATAATAATTTTTCCTTTAAATTATGGGAAAACTGTCAAATACGTCCTCAAACTTTCATAAAAAAGTCAATTAAATCCTTCTATAGGAGACTATGTCCGGTCGTCGCGATTTGGGGTGGTTCGCGGTGGAATTTTTTGATGAAAGTTTTTGAGCATCTTATTTATCAAGTCTAGTTTACTCATACCAAATTTCAGCTGAAAATTTAATCGGGAGCGCATTCAAATTAATTCGAGAACGCAAAAATGCGCAGTTATCTTCAAGATTTAATTTGAATGTGTTCCCAATTGAATTTTGAGCTGATATTTGGTATGAGTAAACTAGACTTGGTGAATAAGATGCTCACAAAATTTCATCAAAAACTTACACCGGGAACTGCCCCAAATCACGATGGACGGACAGAACCTCCAATAGAAGGACTTAATTGACTTTTTATGAAAGTTCGAGGACCTATTCGACAGTTTTCCCTTAAATTATTGTATGTAGCTCATAAACTAACGTAGCAGACTAAATACCGGACCTCTAAGTGTATTTATTTTTAATATAAATAAAATAAGTTTTATATTTCTTTAAATTTTGTCTAACTTTATTCCTAAAAAATACACTCAAAATCTTAATATAATTAGGATTACAAATTCTAACTACCATCAATTATATAAATATTTGTAACACAATTTAATTCTTTTATAAGTTTTTTTACAATCTTCTTGTACAAGCAGTGATGAATTTCATATTAGTCATTTCATCTGCTCACAATTTGTATCTCATTTTTTATTTTTAATCTTTCATTAAGCTTGTCGCATACAATTTATAAAAATATTTGGATGTTCATACATATATATACATACAAACACTTCTCCCCATACAATATATATATATATATATATATATGGGAATAATATATATATATATATATATATATATATATATATATATATATATATATATATATATATATATATATATTTCTCTTCTCTCTTTTGGGTCAGGCTTATGCCCTAATCTTTTGTTGTATTTCCCCTTTTTATCTCAATAATAATCAAGCTCTTTTTCTCAATATATATATATATATATATATATATATATATATATATATATATATATATATGGGAAGAGATCACATACAAACACTTCTCCCCATACAAAATGCAAATTAATTTCGTGCGTTCGATTTAGGCAAATCAACGGCCCAAAACAGGTTCCTCACAGTTACTTGTGATGACATGCGAAGTAGGGGAACGTGTATTTTAAAACCGGTTTAGTAATTAGGGATAAAAAGGTCATTTGATTTTTTTAAATGGAACCGCCATAATACGGAAAAGGAAGGAAACCTGTTTTGCGCATAATCCCCACTTAGATTCGAACCGCCCATGTATAGCAAATCAAATTAATGAAAGATGCAGAGGTTGTTTAATGCTCCAACTAGCCAAGGTCTGAGAAGCCGGAATATTTCCTTGAGAGCGACGAAATCTTCAGCGTAGACAAAGAAAGTCATATGTGAAGATCAACGACCAGTGAAATTCCATTTGTGCAAATGGCTTCAGTTCAAGAAGAACATGCTTTGCGAGAAGCTGCTTTGGCGTGCGAAGAAGGTATTTGTGTTGTTTAGATTAATATGTTTGCATGGAGGATATTGTATGTTAGATGCACAAAGAGGAATGTGTGCATGCATTTGTGATGGACTTTATATTTACAGTGTTTTTGTTTTTTGTTGAATTTACTAATGTGTAATATATAATTAGTAATATGGAGTTGAATTTGAGGGAAAAGGGCATTTTGCACCGAGAATGTTTGTTGTGGTGTTTGTGGTTGGTGGGTCTTCCTGATTAGATTAAGTATTGTGCAAATTCGATTACCTAAAGGTGTTTCCTTGATTAGCCGAAGGCTAATTGCTGATATCCTGGGGGGTGCCGAGGGGAGCCCCTCAGTATAAGTGATGGCTCTCGTGTTGCCGAAGGGGGTTCCTTAGCTGTTGATGAATTAGAGGATGAGGGCTCCCGAGGTGTCCCGTCATTCTCATGCCGGAGGTTAACCATTGATGAGGAGGTGTAAAGGTGTGGCCCTGGGGGTTTCTTGGCTCTCCACATGTTGAGGTGTAAGGGTTCTCGAGGGGTTTGCCCGTTGTGGGGCCGGGGGCTCCCCTTAAAGAAGGAGTTTGAAGGAGTTAGCCCGAAGGCATGCATAGCGTTGTCTGAGGGGTGCCAGTTGAGGGCACCTTAGTCCGTGAAGGGGAGTCGTTGGGATATGACCGTTGGAATATAGCCGTTGGAGGTGGACATCCACGTGGCACGTAGCTGTTGGCTGTCTTCGGGCGGGCGGCACTGGTTGGGTGAAACGACGACATGTAATGATGATTTTAGCCGCTGGGGGCCCGTATTTAGGCCCAAGCCCGGATGTTGGTGGCTATAAATACCCCAAAGCCAGGGCCATATTTCCTTGTGCGAATTCATTGTAGCGAAGCTCTGGCCTAATTTTTCTAGAGAGAGAAAGTATCCCTTCGATCAAATCACCAGCTTCCAAGGTCAGTTCTTTCCCCATTCTCTGTTGCTCTCAGTATACTTTGCTTGTTCGGTGAGTTTAGCTTTTGCCCTTTAGGCTAAGTGTTAGAGTTCCTTAGGAAGCCTTGGGCCAGGAACTTGCATGAGGGCTTGGGCGCTCATGAGCGTCTTGTTTCCTGTTCTTGGTGTCTTCAACATGTCTTCATTCTTCAAAAATTGGAGGCCTTGGGCCGTAGGATAATACATTCACTAGTTATGAGGGCTTGACCGCTCTAATATTACTAATAAAATTTAACTAGGTGATGTACATTCCAATGTCTAGGGACCTCTGTCCCATTGGGGCATTTGAGTTTCTAAGTCCCTGACTTGATGATGGTTGTGACGATGTAGGGCCCCTCGAACTTAGGCGTCATTTTGCCTCCCTCGGTTGACTGGCTTGCTTCCCTTCGGCGCAGGACATAATCCCCCACTTGGAATTCTCGAGAGCGGACCTTGGCGTCGATGTAGCTTTTGACTTGCCTTCGGTAGTTTTCCGCTCGCATGAAGGCTTGCTCTCGACGTTCTGAAATGAGGTGAAGGTCGAGGGCCAT